TCTGTAGTCAGTGCTCAGCGGGGGTCTGAATTTCAGCCCTCGTGCAGAGTTGCATTGCACGGGGAGGCCCACAGCCTCACCTGTGGTTCTGTCCCCCCACAACTCCCTTGCCCCAGCTGCCTTGGCTCAGATGGGGAGCCAGGACAGCCCTTAGGGGCTCCACTGAGACAACCAGTGGGGCCTGTCCCCACTCAGACTGCCACTTGAGTCTCTAAGTAAAAGGCCTTAGGCAGCATTGGAACTCACTGGGAATATGAGGCCACCTGTCAGCAGGAATTTTATCTTACTTACTGGAATGATGGACTGTTTACTATCCCCGTTGCTGAATGTACAAAAAGCCTTTTAAACCAACTGTAGATCCATTTCTGCTAAGAAGAAAGATTTTAGCAGGGGGGGAGTTGTTTGGGTTTTTATTCTTATCCAAGTTATACACGAATATAATTTAAATTATCAAAATGCTCTGTAAGGTTGGGTTAAAAAAACAACAACAAACAGCAGTTCCCTGTCTCCCTCCTTGCATTTTCCCATCTCTGAGGCAACTACTTTCCTCTTTTGGCTTTCTGTTGGTATTTACCACTGTTTCTAAATCATTTCTTCATTTTCCCATCATAAGCTCTATCTATTGACACATTCTACTTATCTTCTGTTCTTGGTTATCTAGAATCAGCCCCAAACAACCTCACACATTTATTGGATCACAGATCTGCAATCTGGGCAGGGCTTGGAGGGGACAGTGTGTGATCAACGGGGCTTCGGCTGGTTGGGACCTGGGGGACCTGCTTCCAAGATGGCTCCATCACAGGGCTGAGGAGCTGGCTTCTTTCCATCAGGGCTTCTCTACGGAGTCGCTTGAGCTTCCTCACAACATGGCAGCTGGATTCCAAGAGCTAGGGAGTAGAAGCTGCCAGTTCTTTAAGGCCTGAGCCTCGAAACTGGCCCAGGGCCACTTCCGCCACATTTCTGCTTCTTAGCGGCCACCGAGCCCGTCCAGATTTAAGGGGGAGGCACAGAGACTCCGTTTGTACTTATTGTATTTATTGGTTTATTTAGTGGTTTCATTGAGGTATAATGGACAAATCGTAATTGTATATATCCAAGACGTACAACTTGATGATTTGATATATGGATACACTGTGCAGTGATCCCACTGTCAAGCTCGTTAACATTATCTGTCACCTCAGAGCGATCACATTCTTTCCGTGGTGAGTGCACTGAAGATGGACCTGCTCTGCGGCTCCACAACACCGTGTTGTTAACTACACCACCGTGTTGTGTAGTAGGAGATCCCCGGACTAGTTTATCTTACAACTGAAACTTCATCCCCAACATCTCCCCATTCTTCTTCCCTGCCTTGGCCCTGGAAAGCAGCCTTCTCCCCTGCTTTTATGTGTTTGATTCTTGTAGACTCCACACGTAAGCGAGGACATGCGGTGTTTGTCTCAAGCCGGGCCCGTTTCATTCAGCAGAACGGCCTCCAGGTGCATCCATGTTGCCACAACTGGCAGGATGTCCCTTCTCACAGCTGGACCATATTCCGTTGTGTGTATGTAACACATTTTCTTTACCAGAGGCTGTTGCCCTGTCTCGGCTGCTGTGAGTTCTGCTTCCCAACCCGTGTGGTCCTAACCCACCGCACGACTCTGCCTCATGCTCTCAACTCCCAGTAGTGGCATCTGAAGCTCTCTTGTCTCCAGAAGGAGTCTGAACTCTGGCCTCTGCTGTCCCCACCCCTCATCTGCCCCATCCATCCCCCATGCTGTCCCCAGGGCGTTCCTCTTTGCCTCCTCTGGTGGGAGCCATTCTTGCCTGTGCCTCCAGCACCTGTCCGTGCCAGCTCTGTCCCATCTTGGATTTGCTCCCTCTCTCAGGCCCTCATCTCCCCTGGATTGTCATAGCCCCTCTAGCCTGGGCTCCTGTCCTGTGGCATCACCGCTCTGCACTCGTGGCAGCTACAGCAGGCGTCTGCTGCTATGTCTCCGTGGGGGCCTACCCTCTTCCTGGGACCTGGTCCCCAGGTTCTTGCCCATCCTTCCCAACTGCCAGGGACCACAGGAGCTCCCACTTGGTACCATGACAGCTCTCTGATGGGCCAGGGCTGGGCAACCGCCCCATTCTTTCCTGGGGTCTTAGAGCTGGGAGGGTGGGCTGCAAGATACATAAGGTGGACACTTCCAGAAGGTCACCAGGGGGGAAGTGATCTATACCAGGAGAAAATGAAGCAGAAACAGAGAAGGGGCATAGGGCCACCCCAAGTGACCTGGAGGTGTGGTGCCTCCCTGTCTCCCCAACATGGGCTTTCCTGCCCTCCTATGGTAGTTCTGTCCAGCCTTCCTGTCGGTTCCCTTCTTCCCAGAGCCGCTTTGCACTGGGTTTCTTTCCTACATAATCAAAAGACAGGAGTCCTCCTGAAGCCTCAGGACCCCTCTCTCTCTGGCTCCTCCTTCCCAGGCTCCTTGTATCCCACCCTTCTCATCTTCCTGATCTTAGATTTTCAGTCCTGAGCCTTCCCAGGCTGACCCTTTCCAGGGGTCAGGCGGGAGGACACCCCGCCTGAGCACCGCTCTCCCCTGAACCTCCAGGCCCGCCTGGCTTTCCCCAACCACCCCTGGTGCTGCACCCCACACCCTCCACTCCCCGCCCCTGCCTCTGTGCAGGGGTCTATTCTCAGCATGGAGTCTGGGGATGCTGGCTTGAGCCCCTCATCTGTTCCCGGGTCTACCCCCGGGGGGCAAGGAAAGCCCTCTCCGCCCCAGTTCGGGGGCTTTCCTTGATCACTCTGCACCTGCGCTTGGCCTGCCACCCCTCCACCCCCTGCCCAGACAGCACTGGGCCTCAGGGCCCTGGCCTGCAAACAGCCACAAGGCTGCTCCCTAAGGCTGTGTCCCCACAGGACACCCCCTCCTGCTTCACCTTCACGCCATCACCACCGCCTCTTGCACTAGTGACCCACCTCCACCTGCGGACAGCAGCCCCACGAACAGAGCGTTGCAGCCACTCCCTGCTCCCTGCTAAGTAAAGGAGGGAGGGAACAGAGGCCTTCCTGGCACAGCCTTGGTTAGAAACCTTCAGTGGCTCTGCCTGGCCCTCAGACAGAGTGCAAACTCTCTGGCCCTCTCAGAGGGGCCGTGGGATCTACCTTTCCAGCATCTTCTTGTGTGTCCTCTTAGCACTCTGACCTTGACCTTCACAGTTCCTGGTTAGGCAAGTAGCTTCGAGCCTCAGTTCCTTCACCCCAGTGGGGCCCAAGCACGGTCTTCTGGCTGCTGCACCTTCAGGGCTAGGAATACACTCTCCAGCCTCAGGACTTTGCTAGAGCCTGTCCCCCTGTGACGCTATTTGCATCTCGGCTCCCTCCACCATGGCGACCTGACGTGGCCCCTTGAGGAAGACAGAGCTTTCCTGGCTCCTGTCTGGGCACAGTTTCCACTTCTGTCAAATGAAGCAGGGGTGGGCTGGGTGGCCATGGCCCCCGTGGCCCTAGCGTGGCTCAGGGTGACACCCACCTCTGCCCAAGCAAGTCCTGGCGGCCAAGTTGTGCCATGCTGACCAAGTTGGCTGGGCCTCACCAGGGCTCAGGGGGGCGCCTGGGCCGTAAGGACCGGGGTCCATACTGAGTCCATGTTGCTCAAGAGGGAGCCCAGGGGCTCTGACCCACAGCCTCCCTGATGGGTGTCATTCCACAGGGGCTCTGCTCCGCTCTCTACCTCCAGGCTCTGCGGGAGGCCGGCAGGAGACAGCCTCAGTGCAGAACACCAGTGTCCTTCCTCAGAGGGTGAGGCAGTATGAGGGGATGGGGACAAGGTTGAGGTGTCTTGCCCTTGGGCTCTGTTGGGTTGCCTAGGACAGGAAACACTCAGAAATCTTCTCATCCAAACACGAAACCATCAGACCCTCTCACCTATCTTCCCTTCAGGTCCCTGGTTGTGTGAGAAGGTTCTGGGGACAGGAACAGAGAGGGGTGGTGGCCTCAGGGATATCCTGGGGGTGGTGAGATGGACACCTGGAAGGCTGGCTAAGGTGTTGGAAGAGAAAGGAATGGAAGGCAGGATGGTGGCGTGTCCTCCATTCCCTTCTGACACCTGGCCCAGGGCTTCCCGTGCGGGACAGAAGCAGCCATGCCATCTGTCCTCCAGAGCCCACAAGGTCCTCCTAAGAGGTACTGTACTGAATTTTTCTTTGAAGAGCATTCATTGCAACCTGATCAAATGGGCTTGTTAATACTGACCCCCAAGGAAAAGGCATGGAGGAACAAGGGCCAAGGTCTGGTTTCCACCCGGGTTTCCGGCAGTCCTTTGGGAGGCCAGCCTGTGGTTCCCTAGCTGGGTGGGGAAGGAGTGCAGGCCAGGGTCAGGCCAGCTGGGGAGAGAGCACAGCTCAGGGGCCCTTCATCTCTGTCCCCAGGTCCCCAGGGGTGATGCAACTGGGGGGTGCTCAGGACGATGCCAGGCAGGTGACAAGGCCAAGTTAGGGCCACCAGGCACCCCTCTGCCCCTCCTTGGCTGGGAAGGCCAGGATGAGGGCCTTCCTCGTCTCTGGCAGGCCCAGGTCCCCTCTGTCCCCCTGCTCCTCAGTGCCACCAGGGTATAGGATTGGCACTGGAGGGTGAGCCACCAGCTTGAACCCAGGCCTGTGGACTGGGCTACTCAGAGCTCTGGCCTGGGACCTGAGGGAGGGAGTGTCGCAGGACCCCTGCCGCCCCTCCTGAGGCCAGCAGGCAGAGGAGCTGGTGGGGGCAGGGCAGACAGTCACTTTCGGCTGGGTGATGGGTGAGCTTTGCTGTCTTGCATACTAATTACATTTCTAATCATCTAGAACGAGGCACGGGCATCGGTCTGACATGTGGCCAGCTCTGTGAATCATCCTGGAACTGACAGGAAGGTTCTGGAGGGTGGTGACCCCAGCTCAGCTGCGAGGGGTGCAGCCTGAGCCAGGTCCCTTGTCCTGGGCCCAAGGGGCACCCTGCTGCCCAGGCCTCCCCACAGTGCCCCACACACCAGACAGCAATTCACACTTGATTTTATTCCATGACACTGATTTGCTGAAAGTCCCCGGTTTCCTGGGCAGGGGAAGGCAGTGGGTGGCCTGGCAGAAGGGGGGGCCGGCCTTCCCAGGAGGACCGGGTCCCGTTCTGCTCAGGGGAAGCATGAGCCAGGCCTCAGCCTTCCATCCAGTCCCACCCTCTCCCCTCCAGTTTGTTTAAAAACGGAGCTGCAAAAATAAAATAGAATGAGGAAATAAAAACAAAGCCCTGAGTTGTTAAAAACCAAATTAAAAATCCCCTTTGGTGTTGAAAGGTCCTATTCCTAAAAGTCGGCAGGTGGGGCAGGGGTGTGGGTGGGTGTGGGCTGCGCAGGAGGCCTCAGGCCTGCAGGCCACCAGCGACACCGGCATCTGGCTGCTCCCCATCCTGCCGGCTCAGGAGGCCCTCGGTGCCTGGCCGCTTGAGGATGGCGCTGTACTTGAGGGCAGTGGTCTCAGCCTGCAGTACCACCTCGACCAGGCTGAAGATGGTGACGACCTGTGGCACAGGAGAGCCCAGCTTGGTGACACAAGTGCGTCATGGGGGGCCGGACCCGGGGTGGGGAGGGTGGGGTGGGTGGGTGGGAGGGGCAAGAGCTTGTGGCTGGGGTCCAGCCCTGCCACTGTCCTCTTAGCTGGGCCCCAGGTCCACTCGCCCTCCCCTCTGGGCCTCTGTCTGCCTGTCTGCAAGCAAGTACTGAGGTCATGGCCCTGGAGAGAAGTCAGGGAGCCAGACATGGCTGGGTGTGTCTTCTGGTTACAGTGAGTGTCTGGGCTTTGGGAACAAGGAACTGGGGTCTGGGGCCTGCCTTCAGAGCGTGCAGTGGGTGAAAACCACTGTATGCAACTTCTTGGGTAGGAGATCCACAGTTTTCATTAGATTCCCAAAAGGATCCCCAAAGTTAAAACTCTGCTTTAGAGGGGTAGGCAGAGCCCCTTGTCTGTCCCCATGCTGGGGGCGGGGTGCGGGGAGTGGGGGAGGTGGCCCAGGGCAGGGAAGGCAGTACGGGAAAGCTCTGGCCCCAAGGAGGGGATATGGGTGAGCTCGCTGGTGTCTACACATAGAGCCTGAAATCCCACAGGGGAACCTAAGTGCTGGGGTGTGGGGAGGGGTGGGAGGAGGGCTCAGGAAGAGCTAGAGGGCAGATGGTCACACCGTGGTTTTTTGAAAAGGCTGCCCCACTCCCGGGTTCTGACCTGCTGTACCAACTCCTGGTCCGTGTCCTCAGGCTCCCAGACAAGTATGAGCTCCGGCTTCTTGCCCACCTTTTGGAAGTGGTAGGACCGCAGGGGCAGTGCCTGGGGGTCCACATACCTGAGTCTCAGGTTCTAAGCTCTGGGAGCCACCTCCTAACCTTTGACCCTGGAACCCTCCCCCTCCACCCCCGCTGGTTGGAGGCAGCCCCCTGCCTTTCCCTGCCTCCCACTAGCCTAGAACTGCCCCAAGTGCTGAATGGCAGGGGCTCAGGCACCTAAGGCTAGAGGGGTGCTGACCCCTGCGGGCACCGGGTCTGTTAGCATAGGCTGAGGGCTGGCCTGTCTGCAGCCCTAGCCCTGTCTGATGACCGACACCTGAACTTCCTTCCTGCTTGGTGAACTTGAGGTCTGGAGCCCTGACGGATCCCCAGTGGGACTCCATTCTGTCTCTTCTGACTTACTGTATTAACTTCATGCTTGCTCCACTCTGTGTGCTGGATTTCAGGAAATTCAAAGCCAGAGTCAGGGCCCAGGGGGTGACCCGCTAACCGCAAGGGTACCAAATACCCTTGGGAAGAACCTTGAATAAACAGCCACACAGGGCAGGACCCAAGGCAAATAGTGGTCTCTTCTGTCTCTTCAGGGGACAGAGCTTCCAGAGTGGCCACGGATCATTCTCTCTGATCTTTCCTCCCTTCACATTCCCACAAGGAATTCCCTAAAGCTTGTGTGCTCTGCCCTCCTGCACTTGTCTGGGAGCGGCCTGTTCCCTTGAGCCTGACTCCTGGCCCGGATTTCTCATCCCAGGCAGGTGTAGCGGGGTGTCCCAGTGCGGCCTATCAGGTGGGCTTGGTGCTGGTGGTGGAGGGCAGCAAGGTCAGGGACGGCACGCCCTCTGCCTCCACATGGCCAGTGTCACCACCACGGCTTGTATTCTCCAGAGCCAGTGAGGACAGCAAGGACCCCGGCCTATGCTCCCATCCTCCATGCTTCCCGCCAGATGCCGGGCAAATATGGAGGGGACCCCGGCAGAGAGCTGGGGGACATGCAGGTGTGCAGCGGACACAGCTTGGTGTGGGAGGGCTTTGCGCAGAAGTGGTGGGGTCCCGGCATCCTGGAGCTGGCCTTGCCCCAGGGGCCCGTGGGGACTCACGTTACAGTAGATTCGCTTCTGCACACCATAGCGCAGCACCAGCACGTCGAAGGCTTGGTTCAGGACACCGAGCACCATGGCTTCCGACTCCAGGGGGCCGCTTTCCTGCAAGGCAGGGCTCTAGCCAAGGTTCAGCCACGGGACGTGGCATCACCCCCAGGGCCATCCCTGGCTGCCGAAGGCCCCTGAGCTCCTTAAGAGCGCGTTGTGCATTGGTGCCCAGGAGGGGGCGGTGGGGTTGGGGTTGGGGGGCACTGGGCTGGCGGCCTCACCTTAACCAGGATGGCAAAGAAGAGGCCGGTGCTGAGCTCCTGGACGCGCTTGGAGGCCATGCGGCGGTCATTGCAGTGGTCGGCCTGCTTCTGCAGGGCCTCGGGCTCCAGGTCAGGCAGCTCCCCGCAGCCTGGGAAGAGGGCGGTTGCGGGGCTGCTGGCAGGGTGCTGTGCATGCGCCGGCCACAGCTGGGTGAGGGGTGGCACGGTGCTCCCTGCCCAGGCGAGGTGGCACTGGCCTCCCCTGCTGCCTGGCTCCGGGGGATGGGAAGGTGGGCGGCCACGGTGAGGGCCCCTGGCTTTGCACAGGACTGGTAATGAGCGACTGCTGCTGACCCCCGGTGAGCTTTCGCGGGGGTGGGGGGTTTCTGGGCCCAGGCTCTCCCACTGCCTGGCTGACCACCCCCTGGGGCTTCCACGGCCATGCAGTGTGGCTTCTGGCTGCCAGGCGCCCACTCAGAGCTGCAGCAGCCCTCCAGCAGGCACAGGCTGTGTGACTCCCCGGCCATGCCTCTTACCAAGTGCGGCGGCCAGGAGGCGGTGCACCAGGACGTCGGCGAAGCGGCGGATGGGGGAGGTGAAGTGGGTGTAGAGCGGCACGTTGAGGGCGTAGTGCCGGAATTGCGTCTGGTCCTGCAGCACCCCGGAGCAGAAGTACAGGGCCATCTGTGGGTGGGGGAGAAGGGGTCTGAGAGCCGGGCTGGCCCCAGGGATTTTGGGAGCACACGGAGCCGCCAGGCCGCCGGCAGCTGACCGCAGGCCGTTCCCTGTATGGGGGACCCACAGGGCTCTGCGAGGCCGCGGAGGCCACCACTGCCACCTGGCCAGAATGGCACGTAGGAGAGAAGGCCTGGGATGCCTGGTACGGGCCTACAGGGATGTGGGCAGTGGGCACCCAGCTCCTCCCCTGTGGTCCAGGCCTAGTCTTTGGTGGTGACCAACTTCACGCCCTCCAGCCCCTATCCCTGATCTGTGGAAGGCCACGCTGGGACCCTGGCACCTCTGGGCCCCCTACCGGCAGCCACACGCCTGCCAAGGGAGAGAGAGGCTTGCCAGCTGCCAGCCTCAGCCCTTGTCCCTGACAAGCCATCCGGGCACCAAGGTCTGAGTTCAAGAGGCCTTTCTGCAGGGGGCAGTGAGGATGGGGTACACGAAGAGAGGCCAAGTTTCTCTAGGGACCCAACAAATGGTTCCAGGCCATGGTGGTTCTGCTGTGTGGGTGGCCTGGCCACAGTGCCTGCAGCCACTTGCCCTGTGGTCCTGGAGGTCTTGGGGCTGCGATCCCAGGATGCCGCGAGGAGCAAGTGGACAGATACCTCATTGAGGCCCAAGTCACAACCTTGTCTGTTCCCTCGCTCCCTTGCTGCCTGTGCGCTTGGCCAAACGGAGAGCCGGCTCCGCTTACTCTGTGTGTGTCGGGCCTAGAATCCAGGGCACAGCTGGTGACAACCTGCTCAGCTCCCCGAGTCTGCCTCCCTGCCAGCTCCTGCTGAGGCCGGGGTCATGTCCAGGGCAAGTTGCTGGGGGAGGTGGGAGCAGCCGCCACGCCAAGCCACGTCTGGGCGTTCTCAGTGGTGGTGGCCCAGTTCCCCAAACGAGCTGGGCTGAGCAGCACAGAGGCCCTGGTCCCCTTCCTGGCTGGGAAGGTGTCTCTGGGCAGGATGGGACGGGTGGGGACTGTGGCTTTCCTGGGACAGGAAAGTCCCAGGTGTCCTGTTTCAGTGGCTTCCTTAAGAAACTGCTGCTGCCACTGCCTGGTCCCCGTTCTTGTCCTAGTTCTTAGGGACACCACAGGCACTCCAGGACCCTTTGCCATCAGTTCCCCACACAAAGGCTAGCTTGAAGGTCACTCACTGGCAGGAAAGGCCAGAAGTCCACTCTTTTTCAGGCTCTACGTGACTCAGGAGAGGAGGGCTCCTTTCCACAGAGCTCCAGAGCTAGTTTGACTTTGGAGGTGGACAGTTCCAGACACTTCCAGAGGCTGGAGGCAGGGAACAGGAGCCCGACTGGCCCTGCCTGGCACAGTCAACAGGCAGTTCCTGGGACCCTGGGGCGACCACATCTCAGAGCAACTAGAGCGCAGAGTGACATCGAGTCCCCTCGCCACAGGCACACCTGCCCCTCTGTGTGGCATGCTTTAAAGGTGCTTGGTTGGGGGAGACGCTTGTGACCGGGGACAGGGTAAAGGCAGCCAGACCCAAAAGGGCCCCAGTGGCTCCATTCCTAGCAGGAAATATGAATGTCAGGAAATAGATTGGCTGTGGCCAGCTGAGGTGACCTGGTTCTTGTGGACTGATTGAATCCGCAGAGTGACTGAGCCCCTGAAAAATGGTCTGTCATTGCCCCTTGGCCAGGATGGAGCCCAGAGCTGGCCCCATTAGTATGCGCAGCTCCGGCTGGCCTCACAGGCCGGGGGGGCGGGGGGCTCCTTCCCAAGATGCTTGGGCCTGCAGGGGCTGAAGCTCAGATTCAGGGGGCTGAGACAGGCTGCCGGAGCAAGTTCATTGTCTAGGCCCAGCCTTGCCAGCCTGTCATACTGCCTGCGACATAGGCCCACTGCCTAACTCCCCTCCTACCAGCGAGGAAGAGGGAGATTCCTCTGCCTGGGGTCCACAGGGTGGGTGCGTGGTGGGGGGTGATGACTTCCCCTCCAGGAAGGCTGCGATGGGAGACAATCTCTCTCCTCCAGGGTGTCCATCCATCTCAGTTGCTAACTGGCCCCTGTTCCTTCCCTGAGCCGGTCTGATCTGTAGGGACTGGGCACTAAAGGCTTGGTGTATGCTCTGTGATGACTCCCTGCCTTCAGTTAGGGAATGGAGCCCCTGAGGCCATGCAGGGGGTAGCGGGCCTCAAACTGGGCCCTTGAACGGCCCCACAGAAGCTGTCCTTGAACAGGTAAGGCAGGCAAGTCTGTGTAGGAGGCTGATAATCAGAGCACAGGGCTCACCTGTCCTAGGTAATGCCTGGGGCTATCCTCCCCATCCCTCCCCTGAGGCTGTCTGGCATGTGGAGGTCCTGGAGGACCCTGGGAGAAGGGTCAGGTTCGGGGGGCAGGTCCTTCCTTACCTGCATGGGCCGGGAACACATGTTGGTGAGTACCTCCTTCCGGGCCAGGGAGTACTTGTCATCTCCAAATGTTGTGGTCAGACTTTTCTAGAAGCAAACCGTGTGATAGGCAGTCAAGCTGGGCCAGGCACTGGGGAACCCTGTCACCCTCTGACCACCTGAGACCCAGCTCTGGGGGTGGAAGGGTAAGCTGAGGGCTTGACCTCGCTCAGAGGGCCATGGTGGGGTGTGGAGGCCAGCAGCCTCCAGCCTGTGTCCTACGCTGGGCCGTGGCTCCGATGTCAGCTCTTCCATGTCTTGTTGGCTGCATGAGAGACTGGTTTCCACTGTCTTACCTAAGGTACTTCTCTGCCCACCCCAGGCTTAAAAGCCCAGAGCGGAACAGCCACCCTTCCGTGGGATCAAAGGTCAGGCCTGAGCCCCATAAGGCTTAGTTCCAGGAAGGGAGCACTTGACAGCACTTACCATAAAAAACATTCCTGGGCTACCAATCCTCTCAGCCCCCTATGGAAAGTTTCTGGGCCCAAGCCCAGCCCAGCCCAGCCCAGCCCCGGCCGCAGGATCCCTGCCCACGACGGAGTGTTGAGCGGCTTCCCTCGGCCTTGTCCTGGTGGGGAGTGTGGCCCATGGCCGGGGCGTCTGTGACTTGGAGGCCTCTCCCCAGGGCCTTCTCCTCCCTCGCACTCCCGGCACTCACATTGAGGGCCCCTGCAGAGCTGAAGTCCATGGGCAGCCCCAACTGCTCGCAGAATTCCACAAGGTCATTGAGCATCTTGGTCTGGGGCGGAGGGTGCCGGCGCAGGAGGGCACGCTCAGGGAAGGTGCAGTGCGTCTTGTGGGCCACGGCCATGTTGGCCAGGAGCATAAACTCCTCCACGAGCCTGCGGGGGGTGGGGAGGTGGGGAACAGGTGTCAGGGGCCGCCACTGCCCTTTCTTTCCCAAACTAGCTGCAGGCTGGTTCTCTTGTGCCAGAGATGCCCTCCTGCCATCCAGTCTCGTATCCTGCTCGTGCCCCTCTTGGCGCTAACCCGTCAGTAGCGCTCTTCCCTTCTGACATTTGAGCTTGCGCACCACCTCCCCCATGAGTCTGGGCAGAATGGCATCTGTCTTCTTTCCCACTGTGGCTCTGTGCCTGGTACCCCAGCGCCCTGCCTGACAAAGAGAAGGTGCTGGATAAAGCTGTCTGCTGAACGACTTGCCTCCCAGGACACTCAGGGGCGCCCCCAGGGGTGAGAAAAAAAGATGCCCAGGCCCAGCATCAGCACGCTTCTTGGGGGTGCAGAGAAGGTGGTCAGCAGACCCAGGGCTCCCTTCTCTCCTTGGGGAGAGAAGGGTTTCTGAAGATGAACAGGAGGGTCACAGACAGCAAGAGGAATCCGGCATCCTGGGGCGACGTCAATGTGCTGTCGAGGTGTTCAAATCCCAGAGAGTTAACCTCTTAGGTTTGAACACTTGCTGCTACCCTTGAGCGTAATTAGAATCAAGAAGCAGGGACAGATACGGCTCCCGGTGAAGAGACAAAGGCACACCCAGGACCCAGGGAGAGGAGCAGGGACCGACGGGGGAGGAGAGGTGTGTGCCAAGAGAGAGGAGTCAGGAAAAGGGGGAAGCTGTATCGCATAGCCAGCTTCGCATAGTCAGCACCCCCAACCCCCAAACCTGGGGCAGGAGGCCACGTGCTGCTTCCCCGACCCTGGGCTCTGGTGGGAGAGTGAGCGGAGCACTCACAGCAGGAGAGCAGAAGCGGCTGGAAAGGGGCTGTATGGGGCCAGCCTTGCCCAGTTCAGGGACCACTCTCCCCAGCCTTTATTCTGGACCCCAAGCAGCACATCAAGCCCGTGCTTCTCCCACGGAGCCAGAAGAGGTCAGGGAGTGAGCTCCCGTGGCCCTGGCGGCAAGTAGCCGGGGGATGAATTGCCTTTTCCTGGAGGTGTGTGTGTCGCTTTAGGGTTAGCCTTGCAACCTCGCTGAGCTCTTGGAGAGAAATGCAGCCTGTGACGGGAGCAGGGGAGGGGAGAGGGAGCTGACAGAGCCCCTTTCCCACAGCAGAAGTGAGGTTCTGGTTTGCCAAGCTGTCCTGAGAACACATCTGTCTTTCCCTGAAGCCCTCTCTACGAGGGACAAGGCTGAGGGAATGGCCCTCTGGTGGTAGCATGGAGGGCCGGGGGCCAGGTCGGGGCCTCGGGAGAAGGCCAGCCTGAGCCTGGGCTCTAGCCCCTCATCTGCGGGGCTGACTTCGGACTGGATAGAGTTTGGGTGGAGGATGGCAAGGGTCAGACCTCCGTGGATGGGGAGTGTCTTTATCCCCTACTGTGTGCTCATAGTCACTGCAGGGACCATTCTGCCTCCCTGCCCCCCCCCCCCAGTCTGTCCTTGTGCACAGCCCTTCCTGCTGAGAAACCTGGGGTTCAGTCACCGGAACCGGCCACTATTTCCTAAGTGGAGGTCTGAATCCTGGCTCTGTGTTCTTGCTGTAGGAACAGGCACGACTCTGAGACCTCTCCTGACCCTCCTTTCTCTCAAACGTATATTCGAAGGGCAGCCCCAGCCCACAGGGCAGTCCTGGAGACCAGTGTGAACATCACAGGTTATAAGGGCCTCCTGTCATCAGCCTCGCGACATAGGATGTACTTTCTCTCTCTGCACTGTCACGCCAAATGGCCAGCCGTGGTGGTGGGGGTGGGGGGACTCCCCAAGATGCCCTATGAGTTTCATTCCTGCCACTGATCCCCCTTACCTGCCCTTCCCTTGCTTTCCTGAAGGCCCAGGCTGAAGGCTGTGTCCATCTCCCCCCTGGGGCCCTACTGCCAACTGGCCCCCAGGCAACAAGAGCCAGGCTGTTTCACGGTCACCTGTGTCTCAGACTAGCGCTGCTGGACTTTTCATATTTCGATCTTGTCAACCCAACAGGATTCTCAGTTCCTACTCAATAAATGCCTGGTTTGGTTTAATGTCTGTTCTTGGTCATCACCAGAATGCTTCAGATGCGTACCTTCGTTCATGTCTGTCCACTCAATGAACGTTACTGTGTGCCAGGCGGTTCGAGACCTGCCTCCCCCTGCAGTCCGAGAATGCTTGTGGGCAGGGTGTCTATGGTCTATTCCTTGGGGCCCCGCAGTCTCCAGCCCAGGTGCAAGCTTGGGCCAGAAGGAAACACCTAGATAATCTTGGGACTGACCCTGCGCTGTGTTTTGCCAGTGTTGCCAGCAGGGGGCAGCATGGCCCCATAGCAGGGCTGCCGTCAGGCTGCAGGTGAGGGAGTGCTGGGCCTGCCAGAGGAGTGGGCTGGGCTGTGGCATTCCAGCTGTCCCTGCACGCAACTCCCACCCCTGGGGTCAAAGGAACTGAATGGTGGGGTGCCCCCCCCTCCCGGAGGTGGAGCTGCGTTCCTGCTCCCAGTTCCTGCAGGTGCTCTGCCACCTCATCTCAGGTTCTCAAGTAAGGTCGAGAACAGGAAGGAAGGGATGGGGAAGGTGGGGCTGATACCCAGAGCCCTAGGCAGTGACAACAGACTCCAGTCAGGCTGCTTCTCCATTACTTGTCCTCCCTGGACCTCCAGTACACTCCACGAGCACCTGAAGTCGGTGGGAGAAAAGCCAGCATGCTCTGGTTAACCTTGAGAAGAAAGTCTGTCAAAGCTTGAGATGCAGAGGCTGACCTTGGACAGGTCCCTTGGTGCCTCCTGGGGGCTCCATTTCTCCCTGAGTGTCTCAGTCCCTCCCTCAGGACAGGGGGGCAGGAGGTGAGAACTCTCTCCTGTGGAACTCTCTCCAAGATAGTTTGCAGATATCAAGCATTCATCCCAGAAAAGCATCAATGTCACTGAACTGGGAGGTGGCGTAGCAATAAGGCTGACTCCCTGGGTATTGCCATGGCTCATTAGTGTTCTAGGATAGCTGCGGGGACCATTTCTCCACAACCTGTCCTTAAAATCCTTCTTCTGCCAGCAGGGGGGATAGGAGTGGGTAGAGAGAACACGCAAACTGTGAGCAGGAGGAAACGGGGCTTGGAGCACCGTGGCAGTTTGGTCCTGGGGCGGGGGTGCTGGGAGGGGTGGAGTGCGTTTGGAGCAGGGTCCCCAGTCAAGTGAACAGGAAGGCCAAGGAAATGCTAAGCGGCTAGCCCCCAGATTCCCCTGAGTTCAGGATTCACTGTCAAAAGTGGGGCCAGGTACCGCAGAGGGAGAACTGGGCTGGGCGGCAGTGGGGGTGAGGCAGGAGGGTGTCTCTGCTCTCATCTGAGGCCCTCAAAGGCCCCCTTCACCAGGCTCAACAGGTTTCCCCCTAGGGGTCAGTTCCATGGATGGGCCAGAAGGGGGCCCCCCAGCCTCTTTCTTCCAAAGGACCTGGGACGTGGCAGGAGCTGTTTAGAACCCAGGAACTTGTGGGCAGGAAAGAGCCTTGGTTTAGAAACTGCAGTCCTGCGGCCCAAGGTCCAGGGGTCTCTGGGGTCCCATTCCGTATTTTTCTCCTCAGCCAAAGGGGGAAAGGCAGGGCGATTAGAAGAGGAGCCTGAACAGCTGACTTGTCAGCGAACACCCCTTCCCCCCTAATTTCCTTTCCCTGTTGGGGGCCTGCGCTGACTGTAGAGGCCCCGAGCCAAGTGGCTGGGTCACTAAGATGCGCCCCTGACAGCAAACGTCACGCGTCAGAGGCCAGGTGGTGGGGATGGAGGACCCCGCTCCTGGATCTGGGTACCTGACCTGGCCAGAGCCCATCTCCTCCACCCGCCATGGCATAGGCATGAGATCACAGTGCCCCACCAGCTGGGGGAGGGCGAAGAGGCTGGAAGTCAGCAACTGCCTGACAACTGCTCTACACGGGGGCTCAGGAATGGCCACCAGCCAGGATCCCCTTCCAGAACAGCAAGCCAAGCCCTTGGAGGTGGGGCCTCAGTCCCGGTCCTGGCATCTGCCCAGCATCCGGAGCCCAGAGCCACTGGGGGCCCACAACTCTGGAGGTCTTGGGGGTGTGTGTGGGGTGCCTGTGACAGCCAGCTTGGGGCCATGCCAGGACGTGAGCCCATCAGCACTCATTCCCGGCATCCCACCTGCTTGGGCTCTGGGTTTGCAGGTGCTGGGGGGGAGAGCAGGGTGGGTGAGAGGCTTCTCATCCCAGGGAGGAGCAGAGCAAGCCCAGAGCTGTAGGAGTCCCTCACCCGCTCGGGCAGACGCCAGGTAAAGGCCACAGACAAGCTCCTCACAAGCACACACCTCCTCACACAGCAAAGACGACTCTGGTCCAGAATGGTGTTTCCCCAAGTGTGTTAACGTAACTTAGAGAAAAAAGTATAAATATCTATGAAATGCTAGGGGACGATTCCAGTTGAGGTTTTTATTCCAGGAGGCTAATGCACCTCAGGACGACAGAAGCTCCAGGCTGTGGCCCTTACTGCTCACTGACCCCTGGACTTGGGTCCCAGCAGGAAGGATGAGGTCTGGGAGAAGGCGCTCTGCCTGGCGGGGGTCACACAGTGGCTACAGGGGCAATGGGCTGGGACAGCTGTCCTTTTCGAGGAAGGCTGCCCATTCTTGACTGTCGTTGTTGGAGGAACTGGACAGAATGTTCTTCCGGGAGACCGCGGCTCTGTTTTGTTAATGAGGGGCCTGAGGGGGTGTCTGTGGCCAACAAGCCCCTCGGGTGGGACAGGGGGAGGGTGATGTCCCAGGCTGAAGCTCCTGCTCGTCACCTCTCCTGCTGTTTTGCACTACGTGTCCCGCTTCTCTCCTTGGTCCAATGCGCACGGGCCAGGCCGTGTGGAGGGGAGAGGCTAGTGGTCAGTCGCAGGCCTGGAGTTCCTGCTCTGCCCCTCACTGGCTGTGGGACTGCAGACACAATTTTAAACCTCTCTGAATCTCAACCGATTTACCTGAAAAATAGA